TGCTCGCCGGCACCAAGGCACTCACCGGTACGGAGGCGCTCTCCGGCACCGAAGTCAGTGGCACCAAAACACTCCCCGGCACCGACTCGCCTCCCGGCATTGCACGGCTCCCCTGTGTGCAGATGCTCACCAGCACCGAAACGGTCTGCAGTGTCGAGACATTCATCGGCACCGACGCACTCGCTGGTGCCATCTCCGCCTTCAGTGGTCGAACCATCACGACATGACACATCCAGGTGGGAAGACCATCCGACATCGGATAGACTCTCTACGCCGGCGTCATCATTGTCCGAGCGTTTTCCAGCCCACACGACAGTTCAGCTTAGAGCATGAAGACTGCAAAGCCTCTCATCCAGTCCTCACCCAGCTCAGTTTTCACCGGAGCCTCCATCAGTGTGCGTATCCTACTACACATGATCACCAGAGTACTCACACAGGAGCTATCATGCACCATGTCGCTGTCACCATACCAGTCGATCGCGCAGCTGTTCCAGCCCTTCCAGGGACAGGTCTAGATCTCCTAGAGCATCAGATCGTTCCCCACGCTCTGCCTATCATACTGGTAGTAGCCAACCATACCGGGCTCTTTCGCATACATCGCAACACGACCGTCATTCACCATCTTACCATTCATATTCACACCGACGATGCACGGTCTCCCCAGGATCAACATATCATTCCCACTCTCCATTTCTACAGGAACTATCCTGTTCACCACCCCAATCAAGGCCGCAGACACCATCCGGCGTCCCATCGTCCCTCCCGTCGCATCATGCCAAGCAACCTGCCACCACACAAGAGGGCTCTTCGGTCCGATCTCCTATGGATGAGTCCTCTTCCTCTCCAAATGAGGCAGTTTTTCAGGGCGATACCTCGCCCCCTGATGATTTACATCAATTTCAAGATCTCTTCAAGCGGGTAGCTGATAGTCAACGAGTACAGCTGGCAGAAGTCCAGCAGAAACAACACCAGTTGCTCCGTAATATCAAGCACTCACATCAGAGTAAGATCGCTCTGCCATTGGATGACGCTGTCCTCGAGATAGCAGACGATCAGTGGCAAAGCCCTGCTTCCGCTCCTCCTACCAACAAAAAAGTGGATAAAAAGTATTTCGTTCCTGCTAAAGGGATAGAGTTTCTCTTTACGCACCCACGGCCAAACTCACTGGTCGTGGATGCAGTACAGCAGAAATCGAAAGCCTCACAGCACAAGCCTACCAGTGCGGACAAAGACAGTAAAAGGTTGGACTTGTTTGGGCGCAAAGTATATTCTTCAGCAACTCTAGCCCTACACATGGCTAATTACTCCGTGCTACTAGCTAATCATAGTTTTGACAACTATGCCAAGCTCGTACCACTTCTGGAGCACCTACCAGATACAAAGTGGGAAATCCTAAAAGCAGTAGTGCAGGAAGGCTATACAGCATCCAGAACCGCGCTGCATATAGCTCTCGATGCTGCTGACACGGCAGCCCACATCACCGGCACCTCCATTGTCATGCGCAGAGCATCCTGGCTCCAGCAGTCATATACTCCGAAAGACCTTCTACCGAAACTCGAAGACCTCCCATTCGATAAGCAGAACCTCTTCTCGGAGAAGATAGACCAGCTCCTTCACTCAGGGAAGGACTCTAGAACAACGCTCAAAACTCTCGGGATATATACCCCTCCGTACCGTAGGAAGCAATACACCCCATATCAGAGGCAGAGGCAGTTTACCCAACAAGTGCCTCAGTATAGGCAGCAGGACCAGCAACACAGGGGAAAGCAAAGACAACAAAGGAGGCACCCACCACCAAAAGTGTCTACTCAACATGGTACCAAACAACAAATTTGATGCCACGGTCGAGGGACTCAGAACCACACCCCTCTGCCTGTCTGCCCATGCCACAAGTGCCATTTTCCATCATCGTCTCAGGCCTTTTCTCCAGCGCTGGGCCTATATTACCGCAGACAAATGGGTCCTCCAGACTCTCAAACTAGGGTACACGATTCCTTTCGACTCCCTCCCCCCCCTCACTCCTCCTGCCCCGTTCCTTTTCAGGGACCCCTCTCACGAGCACCTACTCATGCAGGAGGCTTTCCACCTACTTACCATCGGCGTGATAGAGACCATTCCTGACGAGTTCCGGGGCACCGGGTTCTACTCCCGATACTTTCTAACAGAGAAAAAATCCGGGGGTTGGAGACCAATATTGGATCTTTGAGGTCTCAATTGTTATCTTAGAAAACAGCACTTTCACATGGTTACCCTAGCTACGATAATCCCAGCCCTTCACGACAGAGACTGGTTCATGTCCCTCGATCTCCAGGACACATTTTTTCACGTAGCCATACACCCGGCTCACAGACGTTTCTTATGATTCCAAATTGGCCCGCACCTCTTTCAGTACAGAGTCCTCCCCTTTGGACTCTCATCGGCCCCCAGGGTGTTTTCCAAGACTCTAGCGGTGGTTGCAGCATTTCTTCGCCGTCTAGGGGTTATGATATTTCCCTACCTGGACAACTGCCTCATCAGGGCCCTTTCCCTCAAAGAAGCCCTTACTGCTATGAACATTACGGAAACAGTCTTCAATGCCTTGGGTCTCATTATCAATGCTGCAAAGTCATCTATGACTCCTCATCAGTCCATACAATTCATCGGCACCCATCTGGACAGGTCATAGGGTAGTGACCAGATGAAGAAAAAGTCCACTGGTCCTCCAGACTGGAGGTTGAATGATCACCCAGTAATCTGTCTTCATCAAAAAATTGAGTCTAAAGGGGCATCCATACTGTAGCTGGAGTTGTAAATTTGACTGAGCTAGTTCACTGAAAATATCAGTGAAGTGACAGTCGCATAGGCTAGTTGCCCCAGTACTTTTTTGGTTCTTGGAGAAGATTGTATTTGGACAGCTAACCCACACTGTTGCCTGTGCCACTGCAGCAATACTATTTGTGAATGTACTAGCTTCATCAAAACTAGCATGTGTGCATCCACCCAAACTGGGAATTGCATCTCCAGCTGCAGTGTAGACGTGTCAGAGAAACACAAAAAGGGAGCTGTCCTGGATACAGCATGATAGAGAAAGCCTTGTTCATGCCTGAAGCAACATCTGATAGTGATGCAAGGATTATCAACAGTCAGATCAAATAAATTCCCACAGGGGAAAATCTGAGAGAATGTATTAATTGCTTAATTGTTTAACTGCCACAACAGCCTACATTTTTATAATAAACCCCACATTGAAAACGCTCCATAGCATTTGCATAGCATCAGTTGTAACAGGTTTAGTATAGAGATCAGGCAAAATCAGAATCTTGTACGTGAGAGTGTTTGAAGTGGGAGGTGACTTAGGATGGAATGCTAGAGTCTGAACTTGCCTGAACAGGTTTGGCTCTGCGTCAGACCCAAAAGCTTAAGATAATTCATGGATCCTGATCTGTATACCATACACTCAGCCTATAGTTTTATATTAA